TCTGTAGGGCCAGTGATAGCCATGCTAACTCATGCTAACTCTGTAGGGCCAGTGCTAGCCGTGCCAGTCCAGGGACTTATTGCAGTTCTATTGTAAGGTGCCTTGGTGAAGGTCAATGACTGGCGTAGCTGACATGGAACAACCAGACCAGACATAGCACTTTAGGTTTATAAACTGTATTAATTAGGCTATGGATGCTTCCAAAAAAAAAATAATTAAAAAATCCACCATTCCCCTTTTTTTTTATTTTTTCACAACTATACTACTGTCAATGCATTAAGATCTCAGCTACTCTGCAGTTTAAACAATATTTTCTTTTCTTCTTTAGCTGCGTCTACTGTTTCTAAAAAAGTCAGGACAGAAAATAAAGTACATCCTAAAATAATAAAAAAACTCCAAAGGCTGAGTCTGTAGGCCAGCCTATGGTTTCCCCCCCAGAGAAGCTGAAGGAGAATATGTCTCCAGTGTTGGTTTTCCATCTCCAGATCCAGGACTAGAACCCTCCTCCACCTGTTGCCGTGCCCCTTTGTTTCTGCTGCTCTTCCATGACGGTTACATACAAAGAGATGTCCTGAGGATGAATTTGTCCACTTGAGCCCTGGATCCCTGTAGCTCCCCCACAGTTCCACATGGTTAATGTTCCTCTAAAAGGTTCATGTTCTCCTCATGTTGCCGCTTCCTGGGCGCTGATCGGTTATGCCTGTATTTCAGAGGAGCAGTTTGTCAGCGATGAGAACTTGGTGGAAGCTCGTGAGGCATCAGACGAGGATCTGCTGGTGGTTCACACTAAACGGTACCTCAACAGATTAAAGGTGGGCATCTACTGCTGTTTCTTCTGTTCCACGTTGAAACCTCCAGTGTTCTGCATGGAGCCGGTCAGGTTCTCATCTTGGTGCTCTTTTTCCCGTCTAGTGGTCTGTTGTGGTGGCATCCATCACTGAAATCCCCCCCCTGATGCTTCTGCCCAATTCCCTGGTCAAGAGGAGGGTGCTGAGACCTTTACGGACCCAAACAGGAGGAACCATAATGGTTGGTATTCACCTAACTGCTGGTTAATGGGATCCCTTGCATGGGTGATCACAGGGAGGGGCCACTGATCAGGGTTTTCAGACCAACCATGAGGGATTAATGGTTTCCTTTTTGAATATCTGTTTCCTGGAAGCCAACCTCATACCCAGAACCACAACAGGCTCCATTTACAATTCAACAACAACAATCTTCCAGTCTGACTTACTGATTGGTCCAAAGGCAGCTAAAGGGGAACACCGTTTCTTTTTACATTGGGCCCTTGATTTTACGTTATTCCATCATGTTCTACTCTCCCATATGAGTTTAGTGTCATTTGGAGCCGTTCTGAAGATATTCCGTTAGGTTATATCCAAGTAACGTCTTCCTATGGGCAACGACTTGAAGGCACAAACTAAACTGTTCATAATTTATTCTTTATGGTACGCCAGCATTCAGAACATGGAGGCCAATCACTGTCCCCCAGACATCCGCCGTTATATTTTTGATATTTATATCTTTTAAAAAACAAAGCGGAGTTTGTATGATGTCATCTGTGCGCTTCCTCCTTTCCATGATCTCTTCATCAGTATACTCGTGTTCAAATCGATATGGACATCCATCATAATCAAACTCATCAATTTCATAATCTGAATCATTCAATTCCATTTGGAGAGCGAGATCATCTGTGGTAGCAGCACTAGACATCTTCCAGGCATTTGAGGAAAACTAGAAACAGTTCAGAGGACAGGATGAATGAACGGTAGCCGGAACGACTTGAATATAACCTAACGGAATATCTTCAGAACAGCTCCAAATGACAGAAAGCTAATATGGTTGAGTAGAACATGATGTAATAACGTAAAATCAAGGGCCCAATATAAAAAAAAAAAACGGTGTTCCCCTTTAGCTGCCTTTGGAGCAATCAAATCAGTAAGTCAGACTGAAAGATTGTTGCTACTCCTC